AACCAGTCGGCGTAGTGGTGGCCCCGGAACGCCTGCGTCGCCGATGCACCCGTGAACGCAGCGCCTTGCATGAAGAAGCCCGTCGTGCCAATGAACCCGTTGCCGTGCATGAACGCAAAGCTGTACCCGACCGCATAGAACGTCAAGCCCGTGATGCAGCAGTCGCCGAGGATGCGAATGATGATGTGCTTGGTGTTCTTCTTGTGCACGCAGCCAATCTCAAGGAGCGCGAGACCGAGCATCATGAGGAAGACGAGGACGCCGCCAAAGAGGAGCCAGAAGAGGTCGAGGGACGCGCCATGAGTGTTGGCGGTTTGGGCCTCGGCGACTGACGCAGTGAATTCGCCCCACGTGAGCGTGTGGGTCGTGCCACCGACGTCGATCGTGAGCAGCGACGAGGGTTCCCACTGCATCTTGAATCGACTTATGGCAATCTCAAAATGGAAAGATTTGGTGACAGCGTATGCTATGAAGAAGAAGAAGAAGATACGATAGAAAGATCCAAGGGGCACGACGAGACGCAGTATCTCGAACAATATTCGTGGCCACGGAACGGGTAACAATTGTTTGGTAGGGTAAATAGCTCTTAACTGAATGGTATACTGGTAGAGCACAGATTGACATGTTGCCATTGCTGGTCCCGTGATCGGTTGGTCGAGCACCATCCTTCTGGCCCTTGTGCATTGCTTGCATGCGACAGACAGGTTCCGAAATCGGCGCCAAAACAGCTGCCCTGAATGCCGTATCCTAGTATTTATAACCGGCATTGATGCGGCGGCCGCTCTTCGTGTAGTACCGGGTACTAGTACGTATAGTGCCCCGCGTTGACTCACACATGCGTGTCCTGCCGTATGCACTTTGATGCAAACCTTGAGCTTGGAGTCAATGTGGCTGGTTTGGCCAAGAAGATGGCGTCAGACGATGCAAGATTCTATGAATCGATTATTCGAAGGATTCCAACGCAACGCAAGTGGAAGCCGGTGGCGCCCAAGCCACATTTTCAACTTACTGCTTGAAGATGCGATCCAGTGTACCTAGAGGGCAGTGATCAAGTGGAGTGGCGATGTTTTTGGTCGTTGAACCGCTCGTTGGCCATTGGCAAAAGTCATGTCGGCTGGTCTGGGGGCGCTGAACCTCCTCCCACCCACGGGTTCGTGCTAAGCTCAGTCAACGACGCGGTCATTGCATGGTGAGAATGCCTATCAGCCTACGGGTGGCATAGCAACGAATGCAATATCGGACCAGATCGCAAGCGGCCGCTCGATCACAAACTGCTTTGCAGTGTCATCATTCGCCAGCGACCGTGCACGCTTTTACGTTTGCCGTGCGCCAATATGCGCGTACTAGTATTGACTACGCGCAGCGAGTAAATTGCCACTTCAAGTCCGATAGATTAAATATTCCTTCGGGACATCAAAACGCTGAATAATCGTGGAGCGTACAGGCCGCAAAACTGCCCGTGGCGACAACGCCCACCGCCAAAATTGGTCCTTGATATCTTGAAATGGTATCGAGCCAATCCAATGGGAGCAAGCTGTGGAAACGTTGAACTTGGGCATGCTTTTTGCGCAAGCTGGTCGCGCATAACGGAGAGTGTGTTGCGTCGAGCCCTGGCACTCGTTCGTCTAAGTCGCAGTGACACTGTTTCAATCTCGGCAGGTGCGCTCGCCGGCGCCACCCACCCGCCACACTCAACTTGGCGGCCACACTAGAGTTTACAAGCGACGCCGGCGTACCGGTAGCGCTTCGATGTGCCGACCTTCTTTTCTATCGTTCGCTGGAAGGTCCATGCCAGCTGAGAGAATGGGTGTGAGACTCTCCTCTCGCAGGTTGTGGAATTATCATGGATACATATTTTGCTGGACCGATACCCATGGGGTTCGCACGTCGTGGGATCACTCCATGGCGACTATAGGCGTAGTTTGCTCGTACATAAACTACCAGTAGTCCATCATCGTGTCGACCTAAACCCCTTTCTTCTCTGTATGATGCAGTCGCACGGAGCCGTCGCGCTGTAATTTGGAGATTCTCCACCTTGAAGCACGGTCCGGGTGGCGTTCGTGGTGACGTCGCTTCAGGATATGTGCCCATCGTGAGCGGTCCGCTACTTCAAGTGTGTCGTACAACCAGATCTTAGAGCACGCAAACGCGATGGGCAGGAAAGGCTCCTGTGGCATCCTGCAACACCCATAGAGCCGACCAGTTCAAGATACGTGGACACTCCTGGCGTCAGCGTCCAGGTCGATCCTCTTCGCAATACTTCTGGCGACGACTTTGGCCTGTTTATGCTTGTACGCGCTAGGGGCACAATCGACCCAGCTGTGTGCGTTACGGGTTGAAGTTGGTGTCGGTTACTAAAGCAAAAAGACGGCAGCTTGGCGATCTTCTTGCGGTTTGTATACGACGCGCGCGAAATAGCCAGCGCAAGCGACTGTCGCAGGCGAACATCGCTTGAAGATTCGCAGGTCTTCCTTGCTTCTTGGCCCAAGTCCTCGGCAGGCACCAGTCGTTCCGGGTCGCATTCTAGCGAAGCTTCGCACTCCGACTCCATTCATTTTCCGTTTTTGCCTCGAGCCCGCACTTTCCTCACACAATGCAGTGGGAGCCCTCGTCGCTGCTCACGATCGACGTCGGTGGCACGACCCACACGCTCACGTGGGGCGAATTCACTGCGTCAGTCGCCGAGGCCCAAACCGCCAACACTCATGGCGCGTCCCTCGACCTCTTCTGGCTCCTCTTTGGCGGCGTCCTCGTCTTCCTCATGATGCTCGGTCTCGCGCTCCTTGAGATTGGCTGCGTGCACAAGAAGAACACCAAGCACATCATCATTC